TATGTATGTAGTGCTACATAGAATATGTGAATGTTTATTTACATTTTGAAAATTGTAAATAAAAATCAGCTGAGCTTTGTTGTCCTAAACAGCCGGTAACCGGTCTGTGCGGTCTGCTATACGTAAAAAATAAATATGAAAATGGTACATAAATAACAAATTATTCCTATGTACATATAGATATCAGCGCACTTATATACAAACAAACATACCCATATATGTACATATGTATGTACCTAAATGTGCCGCGTTACTTATGTACGCACATGGGCATAGTAAAAAAATTGTCATGCCTTTTAAAATTCTGACTTTTATTGCTTATGTCGGACACAAAAAGTAGATACCGATTATTTCAGACTTTTTTTTTATTTTTTAAGTTCTAATATATATTTGCACAGAACATATCGGTAGTGTTTGAATTTTATTTTTCAGGCATTTATGAAAATCAAAGTTACGATTTGAATATTCTGTATTTTTCAAAACAGACAGCAGTATTGTGCGTACTGAAATACTAAAATTTTTAAAGTACTTATCAGGATAATAAATATCCCGCAACACCAGAGCTTTAAGAAAATATGGCATATTAAATTTTTCGGGATTTTTCGTTTTTTTAAGTATTTTGTAGATTTTTTGGGTATTTAGCGTTAAATATTTTTGAATCTTACGGGATTTTTTGGACTAATACGAGATTGTAGGGACTGGCTTGGGATTTTCGGTATACTTTCAGATTTTCGAGACCGCTTTGGAACCCTGGGGACTTCGAGGCCATATACTTCAACATTTTCGGGACTCCCAACTAACGCATTTTATCCACACTATAGATATATTTTTTGTGAATGACCTACATAAATCGCTCCTCTACATTCAACTCGAAGCATCTGGATTCTCGAAGCAGGACTTAAAAATTTTGATCTATGACTTCGAAACGTCGGGAACACAACTCACTTACAGAGAGGAATAAAATGTAGTTTGATTTGAAATTTGACTTTCATTGTTGACCAAACAAGGTAACGTTAACTGGCTCTTTGATAATATTGTCAGACATAAAATAGCAAAACTTAGTAGTAGGTCCTGGTTTAATTCAGGCTTCTTCTTCTTCTCATTTGGCGCTGTAACCGCCTAAACGATTTCGGCCGAGCTCAACAAAGCACGCTAGTCGCTTTTCTTCTGTGCTAACTGACTCTAATTGGAAATGCCAAGTGAAGCCAAACGCACTGCTTACCACCTAGACCACAGCGGCTGCTCCAAACATTTAGCCGTTTTAAAACAGCTCAAACTACTGCAACAAAGCTGCTATCAGGACGGCTAAAACCATGTTATACGAAGTAAAGTCTAGTTCCGCGATAAACTCCAAGCTAATTGGAGTACTATAAAGCAGATCAGGATGGACAAATCCAAAAAAAAAAGTACACTTGTTCCGACCGATGCAAACGATTTAAATAAACATATTGTTGGACTGTCTGTTACCACAGCTAATATATGTATGTACATATGTATGCCTAGATAACTAGATTGATTGTTTGAATGTTCATGAATAGTCCATTTGAATTTGTTCGTGTTGATGATCTTAATAGACGATTTCATACCTGACCATTATAACATTTAACATTTTTTAATCTACACCTCGGCCCTTTCTTCAAATTACAGCTCCCTTCACTATAAATTAAATTGGCCACTGGAGTGATTTGACAGTTGCTCGAATTTTTTCGAAACGGTACTAAACTGTCTTGTTTTGATTTCTCCATTTTTACACATTGAGAAGATAGCTTACTGCCAATATCGAAGTATTACATATGTATATATTTTTTTAAATATATTTTTTTTTAATTTTTCGAAGATCCAGCCTTTGACCCCTTATTGCACCTGTAATGTAAGTTTGCACAAAAAAAGTTATTATATACCATTTAAATACGAGCAAAAGCCGGAACACGTCTATATTTTTCCTTTTTTTTTTGCTTTTTACGTGTAATAATTACAAATAATTTTTTACCAAAGGACCAATTTCGAACTTCGAACGCCCATATCTCGATTTCAGAGGCTAACTTTGCAAAACGGAGAAATTACTTTTTTTTACTTATGAGTCAAACTCTACAAAAAAAACTGGTTTCGTCCAATACCCAGAAAAAAAGTAGATTTTGCTATATAGTGTAATATTTTACTTCAATTGATTAGATTAAGATGAACATTAGGCCGCGGATCGCCATTTGGAATATCTTTTAGGGCTCTGAAGAGAGTTGCCACCGGTTTGAAAGGCTGAATTCAATTTTGGCATTTTAGCGCCATGCGGGCTCACCTGCAATATAGTAATAGTGAATCTATTTCCATCTAAGTTATCGTTTAAAAAAATCAGACTATGGTTATTGCAAGATTGCAACGATTCCAAATCCAACGAATTACCCGCACCTACCACGGGAATATGTTTAAGAGTAGCCTCTAAGTAGTGAGTGAGCACCTTCTAAGTAGTGAGAAATGGAGGAGACTGGTCACCTTATTAACTGCATATTTTGCACATTAAACAAATGTTTAAACTATCAAATTAAATCTTTTTTTTCCGAACGTTAAATATATTGTGGGTTACTGCCCAATCGGAAATGGTCATTTACCCAGGAATGTATCGGCCTTAGTCTACACATTCCTGAATGTATACATATATGCGTTTATACAATCCAGGGTAATGCCAAGAATAATGTTTTAATGCGCGAACTGTGTCTTTGGGATGTTTGTTGGCATGCTTCCGCTTCGTTATTAGTTGGCAGCTACAAAACGGAGCGCACACGCACGTACAAACTATTATCACGCATCTACTAACAAAATATCATACAAAATCTGAATATGTATTTAAAATACTTAACAAATGACGACACTTTTTGAAAATAACCATTTTGCTGCTTTGCAGTGTCTTTATTCCATTTGCAGTCATAGTAAAAAATAGCAAATATTAAACTAACGATGACAGCATTCAAGTACGTGAGTGTAGTAAATAAAATAAAAACCAGGCATACATACCTACATACATATGTACGAATTGCGAATATTGAAATAAAAGTTTTATATGTACTATTTTGGTATTTAGGTCTCTATNATAATTTGCAAATATCGATTCTGCAGATGGAACGTTGGATACAACTGCATTACCAAATAAAAGAGCGCGAAATGGCCACCTATATTGCTGGTAAACGTGAACTATTCTACTGGTTGAGCGCCTTCTATATCACCTCTAGCATCGGGTGTTGGCAGTATTATCAGTCGATAAGACGGAAGGCTGCTTTACTCCCAATGATACCCTTGACCTTTGTGATGGCATATTATGCCGATTTGGCGTACGGCAGCAAAGTGCATCGTATTCAAGGTGCAAAAATCGATTGATGACACACATGAATGTATGTTTTTATTTGTTATTGTTATAACTTTGTTTATTTTCAGCTGAAGCTAATATGATATTGGAGCATGAAAATGAGCTATTACACTGGCCTGGAGGTTTGCCAACAGTATCATCGTTGGATGAGGCACGCGTAGAAAATGAAATCGAAAAGAAATTGCACCCACATCCTTCATAGACTTATCCACTTTCCTTATATTTGTATTTTCCATGCTACTGAAATTTTTTACATACATACATTGCTCAATCAATTTCATTAATATAATATAATGTTTATGTGCGAGTATTTAAGAAATTTAAAATTTCTCTTTGAAATTTCAACAATATTAACGATATATAAAGTTTGAGACAATATTTTATTTACATGTAAGATTTACCATTTTCTAAATGTATTTACAATATTTGCTAAATATGTACTTATATAGAGAGATAATTACAATCACTCTAGCAGCTTAAACATCTTGTTATTACTCATTTCCTTAGCATTGTCCATAATAAGCTCTTTTAAACTTAAAAATAAGAGGCAGTAGCAAAGTTTGATTCTTAACGCACACAAAAAAGAAATTTTATGTAACTGAAAAATGTTATGATGAATTGAGTAGTCCACTTGCAAACAGCGTTATGTGATTTTATAATAGAAAGCCATAAATTCGAAAAAAACATCTACGACAACAAGTAACATTTAAATTGAATCTTTTTTATTATTACCTGAAAATTTGGATAAATAACAGCCTTATAAAATTGTAACATAACATAACACGACATAAGATAACATAAACAGTCTCTACGACCTAAAGCAGTTTTCTAAGTTCATCAGAAGGTGTATAGTTTTGAAAGTTTATAAACAAGTATGACAGCGACTTTTGGAAGAAGAGTTAACATTTAATGCTGATATTTTTTTCAGAATATAAAAAGATTTTGCACTGTGTTGTTAGTGGACATGAAACTACTATAAGTACTGGTACGTATTCTTCCAAAAACTAAAAATCGAAAAAAGTTTACATAGCGTACTTTGCAAGTGAGTCCACTCAATTATCTGCATATAAAATTCATCAGTATGAACATATTTACATTATTCTGTGAACAGGTAGATTTGCACTTTATCTGTACTACGTTGTTGAGGTTTTTCAAAGGTATCATTTAACCTCATTCATGTGATTAAACATAGTACTTACTTATATATATATATCTTCATATACTTAACAAATTATAGCGTTGCGAACTAATTATATATGAATAAAGAAAAATATTAATTTAACAAAAGTATAGAAGTAAATTGAAATTCGTGAATAGATTTATATGATTAGCAAGTACATTATGTACATACACATCTCTATCAAACTAAAGGATAGCATAGCATTAAAATCAATTAAAACTTCAGTGGTCTTCCTTAGACACAATGGATAAAATGCATGGTTATCAGGTTATCTGTTCCTCATTATTCTCTAGTGTAATTCGTTTCTGCAAACTATGTTAAAAATATAACCAGATACCAGATAACCTGATAACCATTCGATGGTTGAATACCCAAATTGTTTCTTGAGCTATATAACTGAGTAGGCTTGGGGAGCTTTTGTACTGAAGAGCGAAAGAGCCAGCGCTTTTAATTGAACTAGTTCGTTCATTAGGTTAGGTTAGGTTATTCTGGCTCGCTGGCTGCCCCACATAGGCCAATAGGTCCCTAGTGATGCCAGATGGAGATAGAGGTTCAGTTAAGTATGTTCGAAGTATACATCATTTAGGATGTCAACGCTTTTGGAGAATTTCAAAAGTACTTGAAGTTCAAGTGTTGTCACGTCTTCAAAATTATAAAACTCTGGAGTTCCGAGATGTTTCAATCGTGTTTTTGATACAACAGGACAATGGCATAGGGTGTGTTCCAGAGTCTCCCTTGTCCCCCGTCCCCGTGCATTTCCTGCAAACTTCACTGACAGCAATCCCCATTTTGCATCCTTTTGTGATTTTAGAGAAATCCGAATGATAGAAAACTTGTTGAAAAAATTGGTTTTTTACTTTACAGATTAATTCAATCTATTATATATGTATATGTGTTATAAAACATACATTTTTGTTGTTGTTGATGATTCAGAAGAGTTAGTTCATTGAGCTGAACGAACTAGAAGGGAACTAATCTCTAAAGTGAACTAAAAAATCCAACGCTATAAATGAGCTATTTCCACTTATACTTTATTTTTGAGGTACCTTAAAGAAAACAAGTCCTTTTTATGAAAATTTTTTTTTGTTGGTTTTTGTGCTGTAAATAATTGCATTTGTTTCTTTCTTAATTATGCTTTTTGTGGACCAATGTTATAAAAAAAAACTTCTAGATATGAAAGAAAAAAGTGTTTACTATAATTTTAACCCACATCTTCGTGGTTTGCTTTTGATGTTATATTCTTTTCAATCATTGCAAATAAGGCTCTTTTGGAAATTTGTTTTTGGTAAAATTTTCGGGCCTTGTCGGCCAATATTTTCTCTATAGGAATATACATTGGATCGGAGCTTCTCCCCCGATTTTTGGCGTGCGCCTTAATGTTGCCACACAAAGCGGAGGGACCTACAGTTTTATGCCGACTCTAAACGGCGATTGTATTTTTATTTGCTTTGCTAGGGCTTGAACCCAGGCGCTGCGGAGTGGAAGCGCGCACTGCTTACCACTACCACAGCAGAAAAACACCACATACTCCTCTGTACGTTGGGTTGTGCATACATAGCCTACCGATCTCCAATTATCTCCATTGAATATTGTGTTTTAACTAGATTATGATTTTAAGTGCAATGGGTTTCGCAAAAGGTTAAATAATAAAAAAATCTAATTTCAAAAGCTTTCGAGCGTTTAATTTTTACCTACATTTTGTTTTACTGTTGACATGGCGCCTTTCCTTTTCCTTGTGCTTATAAAAGAGAACTTGACAGCACTGTTCACATTCCGACGAACGGTAATTAGTACCTGTGTTTTCTTCGGCAATGATCGGGATCCGGATACAGATTTTGCACGCAAATACAGCAACAACGATATGATACTAGCCGTCATCGATTCGCCACTTCTGGCTCGCTATGTTTGAGTTCCGGTCGCTTAAAGAAGAATTTTGCATGTGAAAGCAAGAACAAAGTTAGCTAGCACGGATAGACGATAGCGAGTTTGGTTGTACCTCATTGAGTTCGTTCGTTTCGCCACTCGCTAACTGTTGGCGAATCGATGACGGCTCCTGTTAGAAATGTGGTTCAATTTATGATCCGTTCTGTTTGTTTTGTTTCATTTATAATAAGAATTGTTACTATTAGAGAACTTAAAATAACTTTGCGGCATAGTATTGTACTAGATTTACATATATTTAAGTAGATTATCCTCATTTTCGAGCTTAACTCCCTAATCTGTAATTAAAAAAAGATATTAGCCATTAGAGGCCGACCGAAAAATCGGCCGATGCCGAGGCTAGTATCGGCCAAAAGAATTCAAGTCTCGGGTTGCGCGATTATTTTTCGTGGTTTTAGAGCCCTGTAAGTTTGTTTTTCTTTGTGCAAATAAGCATACAGATTCTCAGTTTTTGTTAAAACAAGTAATATAAAATTGTATTTATTATTTGTTTTTCAAATAAAAGTTAAAAAAATAACAGTTGTGTTTATTTTACTTTTGATACCTTTTCTGCTTGGCAACTGATACCTACTATGTTTTCAGCGCTGATCATGAGCCTGCCATATATATTCTCCAATTAGCACCTTTTGTGCATCCGTGTCAAATCAAAAAGTGCTTCCAATTGCAAACGCAACCCTGCGTATTTTGACAACTAAAAAGGAGCAACAGTAGCGGCGGTGCGACAAGGAAAAAAATGTAAATTTCGTGAAGGCTTTAATTTGTGAAAAAATACCTGCAAATAATTGTAAAATCAAGTGAAAAGTGTGCCTCACTCTTTGGTAAGCATCTTCCAAAAGAAAAAACATAATTTAACTGCACACAATATAAAGTAAAGTCTGCGTGAAAAATTCGTCGAAAGTCCAGAAGAGGAATTTGGCGAAGTTGCATTGTCTACCCATTTTACCACAACTCATCTCATCTATACCTCGTCCGCCGTTGTCTTCGTTAATTGTGTTGTGTGTTCCTCTG